AAGCAAATCCACTGCACACCAGGTGCTCTATTGCACATCACCCTAAAAGTCCCTGGAGGTGCAACTCCAGGCACAGGATCCTGCTTTGATTTCCAGCCCGAACACGCTCAGCAGAAGCTGCATTTGAGGCTCAGCTCTCCCCAGCAGCAGAGACTCTCGGGAAGCAGAGCGGGGGTTTTGGAGTGGGAGAGGCGAGGTTTGCAGCTGCCTCAGCACAGCGAGGAGGTGGCTGCGCTCCTCTGCACTTCAAATCGTTTCTTCTCAGTGATGCTCTTGCCTCCAGGCTGGTTTCCCCCCCCTCTCCTTCCCCGACCCTCCTCCCTGTTCCCGCCCCCCCGGCCCTCAACGGGCGGTGGCGAAGCCGATGCGGTTGTTGCGCCGGTCGAATTTGGTGTAGTAATGCCCGATGAAGCTGGCGCCCAGGATCCAGAGGGGACCAGCAGGAGGTGGGATGTCCAGCCCTGAGAAAGCCACCACACAGACGTCCTCCCCGTACTGGGATTGCTGCAAAGAGGAGGAGACCCAGACGGTGGTGGAGGTGCCAGGAGGGAGGTCCCTGGGACCCCCAGCTCAACCCCCCCAGCTCAACCCCTTGTGCTTGGCCCTTCCCACCTTCCTTCCTCCAGGAAGGAGGATCCCTGCCTGTCTCTGCTAAGCCCGTATCTCCCCAAACCACTCAAGGAAGCAGCAACAGGTTGGCCTGGCTGATCTGGGCACCTCTGCTGAATTGGAGGGTTTGGGGAAAAATGAGAAGCTTCATCCTGGAGCTCATCTCAGCTGCTTTGCGGGGCAGGAGAGCTGCTCATCGAGGTGGACCCAGCCCTCCCACCCCACGTGGAGGGGATGCAGCTTACCCGGAGGATGTAGGCTGAGCCACTGAGCACGTAGACCTTCCCACCCAGGTGGAAGGAGATGTTGGGCAGCTGAGGGACTCGGTCACAGTCCACCACGTACTGCAGGGAGGGGAGACAGCGCTGAGCCTGTTTGCTGGGGGAGGGATGGGCTGGGATCCAGGCAGCAAGGGGGCATGGAGGGAGCAGGGGATGTTTGCTCACCTCTCCTTCAGCCATTTCAGCTGCCCCAATGGCTTTCACCAGCACAGAGATGGGACCAGCAGGGCCGGTGATGTAAGATGCTCCTGTGTCAATGGCCACTGAACAACCTTCCTTGCAGAACAGGATTTCAGCCCCTACAGACACCCTGGAGTGGGAGGAGAGAGAGGTGACCCTGAGTCTCCCATGGTGACCACACACCTTGGGGTAAATGTGGCCACATCTTTGTCCAGGGAACTCTGGCCAGGCAGAGCATGTGCTGCTCCCAGTGCCTCTGGAGCACAGACTCTCCAGGGGCACTGGGAAACCTCTCTTCAAGCTTCTCAGATGTGAAAGCTCAGCTTCATCATGTGTGGTTTATTATGACTTATTTTTTTTCCAATCAAACAAAGCAGAATTGTTTCAGTGCCTCACACTCCCTTCTGCAGGACTAAAGGGAGTTAAATTCTTCCACTGCAGCAGCTTCCAAGTGGAATCAGCCCACGGTGCCACCCCCTCCACATTCCCCAGCCTCAGAGCATCTGCAGGGCTCCATGCTGGAGGAACCCACCCAGCTCCCCTCCAGAGGGAAAAGCACCCACCAGCCACACGTGTCTCCACCAGCCACCTTCCCCAGCACCCACTAAGCTTTCCCCACACCCAGCCTTGCACAGCCAGGGAGGTTTGCAGGATGCAGCCAGTGCTGTGCAGGGGCAACCCCTGCCCTCACCCCTTCATGCTGATCTGCCAGTAGCCACTCTTGCTGACGTTCAGGTAGTGGAATTCCCCCGTGTAGTAAGCTGGGTCGCTGCCTCCGAGGATGATTTCCCCCCCAGGTTTCAGGGGAGCATTCCTAGGGTGCAAAACACAGCAGAGTGATTCCCCCTTGGCTGCTGTCCCCAAAAAGCCAGGGAGAAGGGACCAGCCCCAGGCACGAGGCTCTGCTGACTCAGTTAGCAGTGGCAGAGAGCAAGGTGGAGCAGAAGAAACCCCGAGTTAGTTCAGAGGGGTGCAAGAGCCACAGGAGAAGGGTGCCACATGCTGAGTTCTCCAAGCAGGTTGGTGGTGGCCCCTGCTCAGGGCTGGTGCAGTGTGTGAGCTCCTAGGGAGCAGCTCCCAGTGCTGGGAAGGGTTGGCCTGGGTCTGGCAGTGGGAGCAGGGATGCTGCCCGGCCCTGGGGTACTCAGGTGACTGTTAGTGGGTGCTGTCCTGAGAGCACTTGTGCTTTTCATCTTCTTACTTCGAAGTTCTGCAAAGAGAGAGATGCTCTGTTAAGGCCTGTGGTCTGAGGGCAGCTGTGTCCCTGGGTGCCCAGGGGACCCAAGCAGCACCCAGAGGAGTCTGCAGTTGCAGCCAGCATCAGTTGGCTTGGTTAGTTATTGCTGGGATGCACCTTTAGTTGAGATGAAGAGCTACCCTGCCTGCTTTGAGAGTGGATTTGTGGGGCTGTTTGTCACTCACATTGCCAGGCTGCTGTACCTGGGACCAGTGGCAGAGCTGGGGGGAGGGGGGGGGTGGGGACA